GCCTTAAGGATGGCAAAGATAGTAATAACAAAGCAGTGTTAGATGAAGTTTTTGATAGTCAAAAAGCAGTTTTGCAAATAAGAGATTCAGGCAACCAACCAACAGAATACAATAATCAACCTCACTCCTGTGATAAGTGTGGATTAACAGTTCCTGAAAGTAATCGATTACGACATCATAATTTATGTAAGAGTTGTTATGACATAGAGAGAGAGAGAGAGAGAGAGAGAGCAATTCATCCAACAGATGGAGAAAAGGTTATTGTGAGGAATGTAAGAGCAGCAATGTTTGAGTAAAAGAAGGAATTTGCTTTGAGTGTGTTCTAGTAGGCATTCGCGTAGCAATTAAACAAGCAATCAGAGAGGAAGGTTTAAAAGCAGCTCAAATTCAATAAGAGAATTTGAAGCCGCAACTAAAAAGAGATATGGAAGAGGGTAAAAAGAATGATCCTAAAGTAGGAGAATTAGGAAATAAACTTATTGAAACTATTGAGAGCGATGTTTATCCTAACCGAAAGAGAAATAGGCAAATATGAATATGATTGTTAGTAATAATGGTGATTATCAGAGTAATTATTTACTGATGATGACCTAGAAAGAAGAACGATGAAGAAAAAGAAGGTTATGATGAATAAAAATGCCTAAGTCCAAAAGCCCATTTGACCAACTGGAAAATGCTCCATCTAGAAAAAAGTATATCAAATATTTTGAAAAAAAGCGGTGGAAAGGAGGAACGCCAATTTCTCCTTATGACCCCTCTGCTAAAGTTTGAGAACTCTCTGATGGCTGATATATGTGCAGTAAAACAAGAAAGCGTTTCAATGTCAAAACCGAAACCATACTTAGACATACTAAACTACCATTACGAAAATGGTATTTGGCTTTATGTTTGTTCTCGGCTAAAAAAAGCGTTTCCTCCTATGAGTTAGCCGAATCACTTGGTGTTACTCAAACTACTGCTTGAAATATGTGAAAAGGTATTCGTAGCCTGCTTAAACAATTCAATTTTGTTAAAGTTAAGTTAGGAAATGAAGTTCAAATAGATGAAACACTTATTGGTGGTTCTAACTCTAATAGACACAAAAATAAAAAGATTCCTCACTGTCAAGGTCGCAGTGCGGTGGATAAAACACTAGTGTTTGGAATGGTAGAACAAAATAGTTACCTGATTACTCAAAAGGTTCCTGATGCCAAAATGAAAACTCTAGTGCCAATAATTAGGGATAATGTTGAAAGAGGTTCTAAAATTTATAGTGATGAATGATACTTTTACAGTGGCTTAAATAAATGATATGAACATCTAATAGTTAACCATGGAAAGGGTGAATATGTGATAAAAGATGACCAAGGCAACAAGATTACCACTAATTCTATTGAAAGTGTTTGAAAGCACTTTAAAACTCCTATCTATGGCACTTATCATAACAACATAAGCGATAAGTATTTACAGGATTATCTTGATGAATTTACTTTTCGTTTCAACACGAGAAAATGAAAAAAACTAAATAGACTTGATTTTTTATCCTCAGTGGTTGTTGGTAATCAATTAACTTATCAAGAGTTTAATCAGTTAAAATCAGTTTAATAATACCTTTAAGAAAGTAATATGAATAAAAAAGTCAGAGAAAACGAAATAGCGTGCGATAGTTGTGGGTTTTACAAGGATGAGTTTTTTATCTACAAACACATAAGTGGCAATAATTACTGCAGTATGTGCATTGCCCTTGGTGTTAAAGCCCAAGAGATTAAGAAACAAGTGAATCAGAAGGAGGTTGACAAAATGGCAAAAGCCCTTTTAAAAACACCACCTCGTAAAAAGAAAAAGAAAAGCAAATAATCTCAACCATTAAAAATATTAATAAGATAATAGCAGTGCAGTTTGCTATGTTAATCCCTTTTAAAATTAATTCTTTTGTGATAATTTCCCGTCCAGGTTTTTTTCAAAGATGATCAATGAGTCGCTCATAGTTGGTTTTGGATTTGAATAGGCAGATTAACAAATATTCCTCATGGGTAAAAATTTATCTATTTTAGTTTTGCGTAAATTTTTTAAATTTCCCAAGCAGGGAAAGGT